ACCGGCGCACCTTCGACAAGTGCTCCATCCTGACACCCACACAGAAACGGCGCCTGAAAGATGCAGGCACATACAGCGTTCCCGACATCATTCTGCACGTGCCGGCAGCAGGCAGAGGGTCGGCGGAACACATTCATGTTGTGGAAGTCAAGTACTGCAGGGACACAAACCCAGACCCGACAATTGCAGCGGCCACGGCACAGCACGCTGCCACGGCACTCATTGCGGAACTGCAGAAGGCGCGCCGGCAGGTCCACCTCCATGTGATTACACTGGGTGTGGGAGGCGCAATTTACGCAGGCATGATCACGACCGCGGCTGACCTAGGGATACCAAAAGAGAAACACAACACCCTGCTCAAGCACCTCAACCTGCACGCTGTTGAGAGCATGACAGCTGTCTAGGGCCGCCGAAAGCAACTGCTGCATGCAAACAACTGCTCGCCATCACGGCCGCGTCAAGGGCGTGGCGTCACGTGAGCATGCCCCTTGGTCTCCACGGTGGGGGGTGTGGCTCACCACACACACCCGACTCCTTAACCCGACGCGGCGCCGCTTGCAGCGTGGCTTCTAGCCATGCAAGGCGTCAGCGTAGTCTCTCTCTCTCTCTCTCTCTCAGGTAGCCCGCGGCTCCGCCCGTCTGCGCTGCGCCGCCGGCCCCTGGTGGCTGGCCGCCCCCGCGCACTCACCGCTTCACTCAGAGATGCCCAGGTGGTGCAGCAGCCTGTCGCAGCGCTGCGGCGCGGTGCCCTGCAAGGGCAGGCCGTAGTGGCCCAGGACGGCGTCCACGGCGGCGCCGCCCATGTTGCGCAGGACTGACAGCATCATGGGGGGGCTGCTGCGGCTCCTGCCCGGCGTCGTTGCGGACCCACCCGACCTGCTGTGGCCCGTTGAGCTGGCTGTTGATGACGCGGGCGTGCGCGTTGTGGTCCACGTCCGCGATGCGCTGCAGCAGCGCTCCCTCCACCTGCTGCAGCTGCGTCGGCAGCTGCTGCAGCTGCTGCAGGATCTGCGTCAGCGTCTGCTGCTGCGCTGCAGGCTGCCAGTTGTGAAAATTCTGCAGCTCACCTGCCATGTTGGTGGCCGCGTGCGCTATGTCTTGGGACGTATGGGCATTGATCGTGGGGTTGGGCGCTGCCATCTGCGCAAAGCGCGCAAGTTTGCAGGCGGTGATGCACGGCGTGTGCGGAGCGTCTCTGGGCAGGGCTACTCCGGGCTTCGACCCTGCACAATGCTACCTTACATACCTGGGCAGCATGTATGCGCAGCACCAACATACGAGACAGTGCAATTTAACCAAAAACAAGTGCACACGGCACTGGCCCCCCACCTGTCCCGCTCAGCAGGCTGCGCCAAGGCTGCCGCGCCCAAGCCTGGAGCTGCCGGCGGGGTGGCGGGATTGCGAGCGAGGAGGGCATCCCCCGGCAGGGGAGCTCATGGTGGGGGGAAGAGCGCAGTTTTGCCGCGCGGCGTTGCCGCCAGTGCGCAAGCGTGCAAGGATCGGCTGCGACTTGGCGATTAGGCACCGCTGGCCCCTGCGCCAGTATACAGCCGGTGCCATTGTCACAAATGCAACCCCTTTGGCCTCACCGAAGAGCACGAGACGAGGGTAGAATCGTGTTAGCGCAGCGCTCAGTCCGGAAGGCTGATTTACCGCATCCGGGTTGTATGAGGTTCGATCACGCATTGTACAAAGAAACGAATTCACTTCTCAGTTATGCACCAGGGGCTGCGCGTCGATCTTGAGCTAGACCCCGCAGCTTTGTCGCCGTGACTAGCGGCGCAGTCGCCGCGACCGAAGCGCCGTCAACCACGTCCAGGTCGGCGGCGGAGGCACTCCACTCGCACCGCGCGATGTAGCGCATACGCGTGTGGCAACTCTGGCACTCTCTGGGCCTAGGCGGGGGGGAGGGGCGGTGCACGGTGCAGCCTACCGCTGTGCGTCATTCGGCCCTCACTGGTAGCAAAAGGGGCGTGTTACCGGTTTGCAAACTGCGTTACCCTGCACTAAAGTGCTTGTTACCGGTGTTACTGACCTGGTAACAGCGTGTAACGTGGTAACTTGGTGGTAACATTCAGTAACACGGTAACTTACGCAGGTAACAGCAGAGGAAACAGGGTAACACCAGGTTAGGTGTTACAGGAACTCTACCGTAGAGCTTTGAGGGCTCGCCGCTGCTCTTGCGGTGGCAGGGAGCACCAGCCACCTTGTTGCGCACACATCTGAGAGTGCAAGCTGATGCCCCTGTAGGGTGGCTAAACTATTGTTTAAAGAGTGTTTGATACATGAACTTTACTGCTCACCGCGCACGGACGCAGCGTACCGCATTACTGATGGGGTGGACTGAGCGGACAGAGCGGACGGAGCGAGGCCAAAGTGGGTAGAACGCGTGCCCTAGGGCAGCGCAAAATACGTAAGCACCAAAAAAGTGTTTCGTGGTTATTATCATAACCTGGGCATCACATACAGCGCTGAGAATGCCACGGGGCGTGGTTGCCGTTTTGCATTCATCGCATCGCGTGTCATACGGTAGAGACGAAGCGCATTGCATTTGCAAATGTCACATACCAGTTATTGTGTCATGACTTGTCAAAGCTATCACGCATAGCCACTCCTCGCCTTGACCTCAACAACCGGCCGGCCCAAACAACGCAGAACGCGCCCACATCAGCCGCGGCCTCAAGCACGATCGAAGATCAGTCAGGTATGCGACATGTCCAGCGACTGCTACCGTTCCATGTGCTCTGGGGGTGCCCTGGGGCTGCCTTGATCATGTTGCTCAACAACCGCTGCACGACGCTTGCTTGCCCACCCAACCCCCTGTCTAGGTCGACCTGCAGGACGTTGCAAGCACGTCACAAGCAGTATGAACCTGCACATGCATACATCTGTGGGTGTGCATACTTCGATTGCTGTGCATCAGCCTGCACATGGTTGTCGTGTGTCTCGTGCACAAGTGCGCAAGCAGTGCGCACGGGGCTGATGCTAGCTTTGGTGCGGTGGGTGGTGCTCAACAGTGCCACCCATTGGGCGTGTTCTACCGTGCGAGTACCGTGGTGGGGTCAAGTGCACTGCCACCATGTTCCCATGCAATTATATTGCAGAACTTTCCATGGCAATTGAGCCCACCGTAGCACTTGTATCAATTGAAGCGCTTGAGGGCACTGTTGAGCAGCTCTTGCACCGAGGGGCGGCACCTCTTGTGAGAGGATCCTTGAAAGCATGCATGTATGCATTAAACACAATTATGTGCAGTTCAATGCTGTACAAAAGGGGCTAGGCTGCTGCGTGCATGAATCAAGGGGTAACACGGTGAAAGTGCTGTTACCTAGGTTACTTGTGTTACGGGTTGGTAACATCACGTTACCGCCGGCGGTAACGTGTCGACTCAAGTTACCCTGTTACTGCGTGTTACCCTGTACTACGGCTGCGCGTTGCGCCGTTACCACGGCGGCGGTAACACCACCTTTTGTACTGGGGTAACACGCCCCTTTTGCTACTAGTGCCTTCTGAAGGACTGTCCTGAACGCTCTCACCCATCAGTGCAGATGTGTTTCATAAGGTACGATGCACCCGGGCAATCGATCAAGCCCGTTCCCCTTCCCTTGATCAGAAGCGGCCGCCGCGCTCGGCCATCCGCATGCCACACGGCGCCTCTCTATTTGAAACTCGCTCGCCAGCCACCTCAACCGTTAGTGAAAAGACGGATGCGTTACAAATCTCGCGCGGCCGGCCGCCGCAGAACCGCGCACGTGGTGCATTTCTCAGGGGCGCCTCAAGCATCGGGAGCTGGCAACGGCGGTATAATTCCCGGGTCAGCTATGCAAAAAACTCACACATGGGCCCCGCCGTCCGATTTCAGCTCGCCTTATCTGTTCCCAGAGTAACATATAGCACAACAAACAGCTTTTAATCACTTGGGTTTGGGTAAGGGAAGGCCCTTGGACTCTCGACAGCCCTGGGGGTTTTAGGGTTTAAGGGTTTAGGGTTTGCGGGTTTAGGGTTTAGGGTTTATATTTGAACCCTTGCATGACTGGGCATCAAGTTC